GTGACCTATGTTAATACGAGTTGAAAAACTGTCTTTAAAATAGACATTATATCAATCGAAGTTCCCGTATGTAAGATATTTATCTCAAAATAACATAAATTTTTTTCTTGTATTATCAATGAGTTTATAAACGATGTAATTTAGGTAGTTTATCTATTTTTTGCCTAGTTTACTTTCAGGTTGTTTATCTACAAAGAGAAAATTATTTGTAAAATTTAGCCATCTTGTCTAATGCAAATACTTTAGTGCTTTTTTATATTTGTGACTTCGTAATAAACTAACTTGTTTTCATACAGATCTAATAATTATTACGAATTATCCATTGTTTCCACGGAAGATTCGAACGGCTGTTCTAATTACAGTCTACGTTTTTAGGACGACCCTTCAGATCGATTCAGAGAACCTTCCATTTTAACGACCAATGCATAAAATACCATTTGCTATTCAGTTGCATTCATTCTTTTCGTGAAATTTCAGTCCTCTTGTGTGGTTTATTTTCGAGTTCAAGCATGTGGTGTCTTTGCAATTTTCCTGACGTATGTTACTTCTCGAAAATGACAATCCCAAACCGGCATATTATTTTTAAATCATTTTTCACATATAAAGTATTATTTTAAAAGGGTACTTTTACGTGCACTGTAAAAACTATTAGCTTATCTCTATGCCAAAAATAATGGTAACTACTTTACATCGAAGACTTTACATCCCCTACACTAAGAACCGAAGATATTTCTTGATGTAGTGACGCACCAAGAATGTTCTTTTACACTACTTGGTGTAAAGAAGCCGTCATTTTTATTATTCAGTAACACTAAAACTTATAATTACTGCAAGACATGATACAATTAATAATCGTAATAGTAATTTTACTATACAATATAAAGTCAGATCATTAATATCAGATGCATCTACGTAATATTTCTTAAAATAAAATTAATTTGTTAATCAAACATACACAAAGCAAAGAAGGAATATTAATTTGAATTCGAACTAGGCTTAACAAAACTGAAGAGAATAAAAGTTAAATATCATATTAAATTATTTAATACGATTGACAGATCTATCTCATGAGAACATAAATATCGTTATTCCCATACAACTATAGTTGTATAATAGTTCAAATTATGTTTTTATAAAAACATTCATGCCTTTTATATATAATAGTTTACATGAGTAGTTTGTCAAACCACTCCGATAAGAAGATTGAAATTACTAGGTAAATAATCAACCACAATCGATATTCTTGATCAATCAAGATTGAAAGATCAAGTTCAGAATTGAAATATACTTGGTATTAAATAAACTATGATCAACTTGTCAACTTAATTTGACAAAAGAGATTGAAATTACTTGACAAATAATCGACAATGATATTCGAACTTGCACTCCCGTAGGTATTGGGGTCGATAGCTAAATCCTACTTAGACTTTGCGGTCCGCAATCTTAGATCGAAAATTTAAAAAGTTCATATTTTCAGAAATAATGCTGATAATTTAAGTAAACTCACTCATTATGTGTAGCTGGGATCTTCAGTCATTGATTATAATAGTTTACATGGGTAGTTTGTCAAATCAGTTCGACAAGAAGTTTGAAATTACTCGGTAAATGATCAACCACCATCGATATTCTTGATCAATCAAGATTGAAAGATCAAGATCAGAATTGAAACATACTTGGCATTAAATATGCTATGATCAATTTATCAATTTAATTTGACAAAAAAGATTGAAACTACTTTGTAAATAGTCGACAATGATATTTGAACTTGCACTCCCGTAGGTATTGGGGTCGATAGCTAAAACCTACTTAGACTTTGTGGTCCGCAATCTTAGATCGAAAATTAAAGAAGTTCATATTTTCAGAAATAATGTTGATAATTTAAGTAAACTCACTCATTATATGTAGCTGGATTCTTCAGTCATCGATTATTTAAGTTTTAACACAAATGAAATCACAAATTACCTTTATTTTCAAAAACTTACCTGCACTCAAAAATGACAACAACGCATCCTGTTACCAACTATGAATGGAGTAAAAAAAAAAAAAAACATACAAGCTTAATATAAAAAAACTAAACTCAGCGGAGCGAAAGCCCTTGAGAGCCAAGGCCTACTGTGCCCATCTCAGTTTTCCTGACCTTGGGCTCTGGGGTGCAGGAGCAGATGTTCCGGTCAGGTGGTCAGTCGAACGCGGAACCCCCAGTGTTTAGTTCCCAAGTATGCTTGGTATTCATTTATCGACCCACTGAATGGATGAAAGGCTGAGTCAGAGAATCGAACCAGGGACCTGTGGCACGACAGCGCGAAGCGCTACCGCTCAGCCACCGGGCGTCCAAGCTTAATATAACCTTAATCAATTATTGGTGTTAGGATTTAACTAAACCCTTTAAAGTATGTATAAATGCTTGATTCAGTATTAAATTGAAGTAAAGTAATCATTCACACAATTTTTTGAGTTTTTCATCATCAAATGAGAATTGGTTTGCACCAAAAATTTTACACCGTACATGCTAATATAAGGAAAAAGTTTCATTATTACCATTTTTTTCTTGTAGTCACAAAATTTATATTTAAAGTAAAGCATTGCTTTCTTAAAACTAATTACGTACTTTTTTAATTATTAGTCATTATTTATAGTATTATTGTGATTTATGATGGTACCATCAAAGGATTTTGATGGTTTATGTTGGTTTCAACAAGATTCTTGATGGTCCAACATGTGTTGATGGGCACCATCATACAACAATTTCCATCATGGTTTGTTGGTTTTTGATGGACCAACAAATTCCAACATAGCAAGATGGAAAATGTTGCTGTATTGCTATGATGGTAAACCATCAAGTAATGTTGGATTTTTCATGGACCAACAGTAACCATCATATTATGATGGAATATGTTGTATTCCCTTTATGATGGTCAACCAACATGGTATGTTTACTATTAATGGACCAACAACAGTCATCAAAATATGATGGAAATTGTTGGTTTACATTTATGATGGTCTACCAACAAGCTATGTATATTAATGTTGGCCCAACAATAACCATCATATTATGATGGAATATGTTGTACTCCCTTTATGGTGGTCAACCAACATGGTATGTTTACTATTGATGGACCAACAGCACCATCAAAATATGATGGAAATTGTTGGCTTATATTTATGATGGTCAACCAACATGTTATGTATGTTAATGTTGGCCCAACAATAACCATNTACCATGGTGGTTTTGTTCATGTTGGTCCAACATAAATTTGTTCCAATTCCTAATATGAGGTGATGGTCAGTCTTGTTGGTACCATCATAAAATATGATGGTTTTTGATGGAAATTCATGATGGTTACCATCATATTCATGTTGGTCCATCAAAGAAAAACCATCATAAAATTTGTCTTGGGAGCACTCACGATATAACATCCATTCCTGTCCGCATCACAAGGGTCGTTATATCGAGCGTTGCTTCTACCAATTAAAACAGCGAGAAAATGAATCAAAATATCAGCAGTATAGTTTTGAATAACTCGCTTGAATAGTTTTGATCTCAGCATTATAGTTTTGAATAAATTCAAACAGCGGATTTATTCATTTTTATTCCAATATTTTATTCTCAATAAAAAGATGGGGGCATTATTGAATTTCTTTATCTTCTAACACACAACGCTATTTGTACCTGACATTTTCTGACTTGTTCGTGTTGTGTATTCCATTCAAATCATGCAACATAAAAGAGCTTTGGTGGTACTTTGTGTTTCAGGTTCCACCCTCGCATAATCCAGATGTTTTATTTCTTTGAATACTTTTCATGAATTGTGTATATCTTTTCTTTAGAAAATGTGAAAACTTGGAAATATGAATCTGTAAAATATTTCAAAATACATTAATGCATTTTTTTGGCGTTTATATTCTTCACAGATTCAAAATTGGGTAACGATTTTTACTTTAAACTTTTAATGTCCACTTTTGTTAAATTGAAGAAAAAAAACTGACCAACTGTTTTGTCTTTCGACTTCAATTATTTCTATCTGTTTTATAATTATAAAGATTGGTTAAACCATTAATGAATACATCTCGTTTTCTTGAAATACAGGAAAACTACTCAAATGAAAAATAACTAGTCAAAGGGGTAAGTAACAAAAAAGAATATATTATATCAACATGATGAATACAGGACAATGGATGATACTATTACTACTACAAAAGATGTAGATGTATTTTTACAAGCATCTTTTAAGAAGGTTACGGTTACAATTGACAATTAATGATGCCATCTAGTGGTGGTTTCTGATTTTTCCACAACTGTTATTCTCCAAAGTTATTTCATGTGATAACAGAACCTTCATAGTACAACCCAAAACTATTAACGTCATATCGTTAGTATAATTGTTATTAACAACAACAAAAAAAAAAAAAAGATTTTCTAAGGTTAATCCTCGATTGTTTGTCTCCAAATGCTCTTTGGACATTCTTTCCCTCACATAACTCTCTCAAAGATTATCACCTTTACCATCATTCACTAATACGAGGCCTGTCTGAAAAGTATCCGACCTTTGGCCAGAAAAAATATTTCAAATATCTGATGGAGTTGGGACCCTAATCCCCTTCAAAGTAGGCCGCTTGGGCTTCAACACACTTAGCCCACCGATCCTTCGACTGGTGGAAACACCTCTGGAAGTCTTCTTTTGGAATGGTGTTCAGCTCCGTCGTCGCGTTCCGCATTATCTCTTCTTTACTCTCAAAACGGGATCCTTTCAGCGGCGTCTTTAATTTTGGAAACAACCAGAAGTCGCAAGGAGCCAGGTCTGAAGAGTAGGGAGGTTGGCGAATGGTTGTAATTCCATGTTTGGCTAAGAAAGTGTGGATCAATTGGGATGAATGTGCAGAGGCGTTGCATGATGCAAGTGCCAGTTGTTCGCCTTCCACAAGTCTGGTCTTTTGCGCCGAACTGCCTCACGGAGTCGCCGGAGAGCATCTTGATAGTACTTCTTTGTCACTGTTTGTCCTTAATGTGCGTATTCGCGATGCACAATTCCACGGACATCAAAGAAAACAGTCAGCATCACCTTGATTTTGCTTCGCCCCTGCTGCTCTTTCTTCGGCTTTGGAGAATCGGGATGCTTCCATTGCGACGACTGTCTTTTTGTTTCTAGATCGTACCCGTACACCCATGACTCATCTCCAGTTTTCACGTTATTCAGAAACCCAGGATCAGTGTTGGCGGTGTCCAGAAGGTCCTGTGCAATGTCAAAACGGAGGTCTTTTTGTTCCAGGGACAACAACTTGGGTACGAATTTCGCAGCTACTCGGTTCATGTTCAAATCTTCACGCAAAATTGCTTGTGCAGAATCTCTACTCACTCCAACCTCTTCTGCAATCTCCCACACTGTCAAACGACGATCTGCCATCACCAAATTTCGCAACCTCTCAACATTAGCTGCACTCCGAGCTGTTTGGTGTCTGCCACAACGCTAATCACTCTCCGCTGATGTGCGGCCATCTTTGAATCGGATGAACCACTCCTTAATTTGTGTTACACCCATCGCTTCTTCTCCAAACACCTGCTGAATCTTACGAATTGTTTGGCTTTGAGAATCACCAAGCTTTTGACAGAATTTGATGCAATATCTTTGCTCAATTTGTTTAGTCATCTTACGAGAAAATTAAATCCGACGAACACTACGAACAGCACCTTACTTGGCGACCACCAGCCAGCGACTGGCACAACCGAACGCGGTGAAAAAATTCAAGCATGTGCATTAAGGTTCCTCCTTCCACCGTGCACGATGGTGCCGCTTTAGAATAATTACTTAGCGCGGGAAAAATTAAGGTCGGATACTTTTTAGACAGGCCTCGTATCTGCAAATTTAAAGGATTAGCAAAACAAAATAATCCTGTTTAGTGAAATAAGACTTAAATAAGATCATTCAAGAACCATCATTTTATTAAAAAAAAATATCACTTACGCCCTAATGTTAATAAATTATTAAAATATTACTTGTTACATCGACATTCGATATAATGGTCCCTGCTGGTTAGAAGAAAACAGACATTATAATTAGATGCAAAGAAACATCATTAATATTTACCAGGAACTATTAAATGTAGAACTAATTTTAACAAAATCGTCTTCAATAACGTGTTTCAACTTTCAATTAATTAAATTCATTCATATTTCGCCTTTTTCTTTTAAAGGTTACAGCTACAACTACCGACAAAAAAAAATTAATGGGATCGTATTCTCGGATTCCTCAATGGGCCGTAGCATCAAAAGAAATAGTAGTTTATTTGAAGCTTTTTCTGCCAAACGATTCTTTATCATTGCAAGTATTTTTGTTTAAAAGTTGTTTTCAAAGTATTTTTTTTTAAATAAATTTCTGTCACAGAATAGGAAGGAACTATTCAGATCGGGTGTTATAAAGAGGTTCTAAAATAACGTAGAACCAATGGAACAGCAAATAGGATTTTTCATATCGGTCGTTAAAATGGGAGGGTCGAAATGATGGGGGTCATACTATAAAGCAAATACAGAATATACCACTTTTATGTTTTGATATTGAAGTTCTTTTTCTCCTTTGTGATAAGTATTTTAAATCTGTTTTCTGTCAAAATTTTCACAAGAATAAGGCTAATTTCGTTATTTTTTTTTCCGACTACCTCTAACTTCTTTTTCTTCAAAAACACACCTCTAAGACTTTGCTAAAGCGAAACTATCGCTAAGAGAACAAAACTATATCTATATACACATATGAAGAAAAAAAATGAAAAGAAATCGTTTAAAAAAATATATATCCACCGTCGTCATGACAACCTTCCCCAAGGAAAATACCGAATTCCAAAAAGAACGAACGATAAGAAAAAAAATTCGATTTCAACTCACCAAAGAATACTTTATATTTCACTAACGACGACCCGTACGAGTCCTTTCAGACGCTAAGCAAAGATATAAATTGGCGATTTTCTTTCATTTGATACCCCTTTGAGTGCCCTCATCGCCAAAACCCTTTTCAGTATTACCCTTCTCTTATTTCTTCTATATGAGTCTTCGTTATTGAATCAGAGATGCTTTCGTTATTTGTATTCCTTTTCGTATGAGTCGCCAAGAAGTTTTTTTGTTTAAGCCCGAGGCTTCGCGAGGCAGACAAATAAATGGCTTTTCCTCTCGGGGTATTTTCTTCATAAGACGTTTAGGGTTATCATGTGCGCATATCTGAGAGTTCCAATGTAGAGTTTATGCAACACAATTTGCATTTCGGTGAAATTCTTCCCAAAATCCTTTATGCTTTTTGGTAAAAATTATTTGCATCAATGAATGGAATATCAATAGGCATCGAGCTTCTCTGTGGTCCAGACAAAGATGTGCATAGAAATTTTTTCTATACGGAAAGCTTTCAAAGATCGTCTAGTATTGTTACCAGCTTTGTTCGGTGCTTTATTTTTTTTTTTAAATGGTAGCTATATTAACCCATATGTTCCAGCGACTTTTAAAAGAACGGTTCCTTTAAAAAAAATAATAAACATGTATAAAAAGTATTTTGTTAATTTTTAGGCAGAAAATGCTCGAGTTTTAAGTGCTAAATTATTCTCTTGTCTCACAATAGCTACAAGGAATTACTTTTCTTAATAATAAATTCATGAAAAAACTAATCATGGAGAAAGATTTAATTCAGGATTTTAAAGCTACACAAATAAAGTATCACTTCAACTAAAATGTTCAGTTCTAAAGGGGGGGGGAATAATAAATCACATCAATAAGTTACTTTTCAAACATTTGAAGAACTCTACAACATGGAATTCAAAGGAGTATGTACCATGCGTTTCAAATTTAAAAGAGGAATTCAAAAGCAGATTTTCCGATTTTCGTGAGAATGGAATTTTTATGAGAATGTTCTCCTCTCCCTTTTCAATAGCATTGGAAATGTTCCACCTGAACTTCAATTAGAATTTATAGATTTTCAGGGTGACTCTGCTGTAAAATGCAAGTTTCTTGAAAATCCTGCATTAATCGATTTTTATTCGAAATACGTGAACAAAGACAAGTATACAGGAATTTTTAAACAAGCATTGTTCATGTCTTCTATCTTTGGCAATACCTACATATGTAAACAGTATTTTACTAAAATGAAGAAAATAAAATCAGAAAATAAGAGCACGGCTGACAGACAAACATTTAGAGGAAAATTTACGAATTGCAACAACACAGATTAAACCGGATATTGAAGTTTTAATTAAGAAGAAACAATGTCAAGTATCACATTGAGACTAAAGTAACTACCATCTCCCACCAGTAATGTAAATATTTTCATTGTAATTGTATTTTGTAACATCGTTCTGTACAATTACCTTCAATGTTTTCATAATTACAAAATATTCTACTACCATTTAACTTTTTCGGAACCTATATAAATACAAATCTGTTACACCATCTCTTCCCTTAGAATCAAGTAGTCTTGTAAAACAAACAATTTTTTGACAGCCGTCTGGCCTCCTTGGATCTTTGTGAATTTATTAAAGTGGTCCTAGGGCGTGAAAGGTTGAAGACCACTAATTTAACCCCTTGGGAACGGTGATTCAGAAAAGCATTCGTACAAAATCAGAATCAAGTTGTAATTAAATAAAACTTGGTGACTTAAATGTAGTCGTTGCTAATTTGACAGACTTACTTTGCTTTTACTTTAATTATTGTTAGTTTAATTATATATATAATCAATGATAATTCAAAGTATAACTAAATAGTTTCATTTTGAACAAAGTAATGATGAATTAAATAAATCAAACAATTATTACTCCGCCCACAAATAAACTGCTAAATAATTACTTTGATTACCAGTTTTATCTTTTTACCCTGATTGATACGGTTTTCTGCTGGCACGTATTTGTAACAGTCGGAGCGAAAGGGTTAAGGCATGTTTACACTATGTAAAAAGAAAAAAAAGAATTCCCCTCAGCTACCGTTTTTATTTTTAAAATTTTTATAATAAATAAAAACAAAAAATTAAATGTATATTAATAATTTCTCGGTGTTTGAGTTATCTTTAACTTACATTTATCTTCGTAACGAAATTACTTTCGTCACTTTTTACGCTTCGAACTTATGTATAAGAGAGAGAGATGAGTGCTTTTAAATTAAAAACGGTCGTAAAAAGATATTATAGTGGTCGTTACGTCCGATAATGTAAAACCGAGCACCCTTAAGACCTATCTTTATTAAACCAAAAATAAAAAAGCTCAAAATACATATTTTACTACTGATTTAGTCTTTTGACACAGAATTTTTACTAAACATATTTCTCATACTTTTTTCATTATTGTGTACTTATTTAGGTCCAAAAAAATAAAAAATATTATAATTAGCATTTTAATAATTTATGATTACGAAATATGGCATGAAACACCTTCCTAAAATCTTCCAAACAACAATTTACCAAATTTGCAGTTATTTAGATCTAAGAGAAATAGTTATTCATCATTGAAATTTCTTTAATTTACAAAATCAATTATTTATAAATTTTTAATTATGGATGGGAAAAAAATTAAAAATACCTTTTTTTTTAATTTTATATCTTAGTACAGATATAATTTCGATAATTTAACAGATTTTTTTAGCAACTATTATACTTTTTTTTTATTATTAAGAAGTGCCAAAACATATTTTTGCTTGCAACCAGAGCATCAGAAAAAGAATGCAAAAAAGAGACACCGATGTCCCATCTGCGTCAAAGGGTTAAATATTTTATTGGACCACTTGTAGAAGCTAAACAGCTGAATATACTAACCACGGTGGCTCTGGAAATAGAGAACTCTCCTCCCAAAGAGGGGATCCAGGTTCAAATCCCAGCGATGGCTGGTTGATACGAATTCAGCTCCCACGGGGACACAGTCCTATGCTGACCTAAAATATCCTCAGTGGTAGGCGAATCACGGGTAAGAATCTCCTTTGGCTAAACATTTGAGGTTTTCGTGGTTTTCCTCTTCATGTAACTTAAATGTGGCTTAGTTCCATCAAAAAGTCCTCCACGAAAACTAGTTTTTCCTAATACTTCGGGATTTTCCTTGTCTTCTGGGTTGGGTTTAAAATTGCAAAGCTACGTGGAGTTGAACATTGATAGTCGTAAACCCAGAATTAGGCCGACTGTTCAACGTCGGGCTATCTATCTATCTATCTATCTATCTATCTATCTATCTATCTATATATCTATCTATCTNTTTTCAATGTGTTATTTCAAGTAGCTTTTGCACAATATATATATATATATATAAAAGACAGCTCTGAATATTCTCAAAATTTTGCTTTTTTTTCTTCAATACGTCGGTAGACAAACGACGTGATTCGTCTAGCTCATACTTAAAAAATATTGCTACAATTATTGTTGTCATTTCTTCCAAAGTTTCCATAAGATAGCTTTCA